GGGGACGGCGGGGGAAGCACGGGGGAGAAGGGCGCGGGGGCGCGGGGAGGGTGCGAGGAGGACGGGGGCAAGAGGAGGGGCGCAGGGGAGAGCGGGGGGAGGAGGGGGGCGCACGGTCGGAATAAGGAGTGGGGGGGGCTCGGGGACGGCGGGGGGGGGGGGGGGCACGACGGAGGAGAAGGCGCGGGGGCCGGGGAGCGTGGAGGAGCACCAGGGGCAAGGAGAGAGGGGCGCAGGGGAGGAGCGGCGGGAGGGCGCACGGTCGGAATAAGGAGAGGGGGGCCCGGGGAGAGCGGGGGAAGCACGGGGGAGAGGGGCGCGGGGGCGCGGGGAGGGTGGGAGGAGGACTTGGGCAAGAGGAGGGAGCGCAGGGGTGAGCGGGGGGAGGAGGGGGGGGCGCACGGTCGGAATAAGGAGTGGGGGGGGCTCGGGGACGGCGGGGGGAGCACGGAGGAGAAGGCGCGGGGGCCGGGGAGCGTGGAGGGAGCACGGGGGCAAGGAGAGAGGGGAGCAGGGGAGGAGCGGCGGGTGGGCGCACGGTGGGAATAAGGGCAGGGGGGCCCGGGGAGAGCGGGGGGGGAACACGGGGGAGAAGGCACGGGGGCCGGGGAGCGTGGAGGGGCACGACGACCAGCACAACCACCAGCACGGCCACGAGCACGACCAGCCACCAGCACGGCCACCAGCACCTCCACAAGCACGACCTCCAGCACAACCACCAGCACGACCACCAGCACGACCACCAGCACGAGCACCAGCACCTCCATCAGCACGACCAGCCACCAGCACAACCAACAGCACGACCACCAGCACGACAAGCAGCACAACCACCAGCACAAGGGAGAGCAGCAGGCCCAGCCAACAGCACCGGGCCAGCAGCACGACCACCAGCACGACCACCAGCACCTCCACCAACCACGACCACCAGCACGACCAGTCAGCACCACCAACCACCAGCACGACAAGCAGCACGACCACCACCAGCACAACCACCAGCACCACCACTACCAGCCACCAGCACGACCACCAGCACCTCCGCAAGCACGACCACCAGCACAACCACCAGCACGACCACCAGCACGACCAGCCACCAGCACGGCCACCAGCACCTCCGCAAGCACGACCACCAACACAACCACCAGCAGCACGACAACCAGCACGACCAGCCACCACCACGGCCACCAGCACTTCCGCAAGCACGACCACCAGCACAACCACCAGCACGACCACCAGCACAACCACCAGCACAACCACCAGCAAGGCCACCAGCAGGACCACCAGCACGACCACCAGCAGGACCACGAGCAGGACCACCAGCACGACCACCAGCACGACCACCCAGCACCACCAACCACCAGCACGACAACCAGCACAACCAGCAGCACGACCACCAGCACAACCACCAGCACAACCACTACCAGCGACCAGCACGACCACCAGCACATCCACCAGCACGACGACCAGCACAACCACCAGCACGACCACCAGCACGACCAGCCACCAGCACGGCCACCAGCACCTCCACAAGCACGACCACCAGCACAACCACCAGCACGACCACCAGCACAACCACCAGCACAACCACCAGCACAACCACTAGCAGGACCACGGGCACGACCACCAGCAGAACCACCAGCAGAGCGAACGGTCGAAATAAAGCAGTGCGAGATCACACCGGTAGGTATGATGATAAGGAGTGGGGGGGGCTCGAGGACGGCGGGGGGAGCACGGAGGAAAAGGCGCGGGGGCCGGGGAGCGTGGAGGGAGCACGGGGGCAAGGAGAGAGGGGAGCAGGGGAGGAGCGGCGGGTGTGCGCACGGTCGGAATAAGGGCAGGGGGGCCCGGGGAGAGCGGGGGGGGAACACGGGGGAGAAGGCGCGGGGGCCGGGGAGCGTGGAGGGGCACGACGACCAGCACAACCACCAGCACGGCCACGAGCACGACCAGCCACCAACACGGCCACCAGCACCTCCACAAGCACGACCTCCAGCACAACCACCAGCACGACCACCAGCACGACCACCAGCACGACCACCAGCACCTCCATCAGCACGACCAGCCACCAGCACAACCACCAACACGACCACCAGCACGACAAGCAGCACAACCACCAGCACAAGGGAGAGCAGCAGGCCCAGCCAACAGCACCGGGCCAGCAGCACGACCACCAGCACGACCACCAGCACCTCCACCAACCACGACCACCAGCACGACCAGTCAGCACCACCAACCACCAGCACGACAAGCAGCACAAATAGCAGCACAACCACCACCAGCACAACCACCAGCACCACCACTACCAGCCACCAGCACGGCCACCAGCACGACAAGCAGCACGACCACCACCAGCACAACCGCCAGCACGACCACCAGCACGACCAGCCACCAGCACGGCCACCAGCACCTCCGCAAGCACGACCACCAGCACAACCACCAGCACGACCACCAGCACGACCAGCCACCAGCACGGCCACCAGCACCTCCGCAAGCACGACCACCAGCACAACCACCAGCACGACCACCAGCACAACCACCAGCACAGCCACCAGCACAACCACCAGCAGGACCACCAGCACGACCACCAGCAGGACCACGAGCAGGACCACCAGCACGACCACCAGCACGACCACCCAGCACCACCAACCACCAGCACGACAACCAGCACAACCAGCAGCACGACCACCAGCACAACCACCAGCACAACCACTACCAGCGACCAGCACGACCACCAGCACATCCACCAACCACGACCACCAGCACGACCAGTCAGCACGACCACCAGCACGACCAGCCACCAGCACGGCCACCAACACCTCCACAAGCACGACCACCAGCACAACCACCAGCACGACTACCAGCACAACCACCAGCACAACCACCAGCACAACCACCATCAGGACCACGAGCACGACCACCAGCAGAACCACCAGCATAGCGCACGGTCGAATCAAAGCAATGCGAGATCACACCGGTAGTTATGATGATAAACTCGATATACTGTACCGCGCACATCCAGTGCATTAGCTCACTGTTTTGGGCCAGCGCTGGGAAAATAACCACATGGCAGCGATGGGGAGGAGGACGGGGAGGGGGGGATCGACGGGGGAAGAGATGGTGGGGCAGGGGGAGGGGACAGGACAGGAGAAGCAGGGAGGATACTGGGGGGGCGGAGGGCGGATCTGGCCTTCCCGCACCTGCCCCCCCGCGCCTCCTCCTGGGAAGGGAGGGGGTCCGGAGTGGATGGGGAGGGCGTGGGCGGAGGAGGCGGAGGAGGAGGAGGAGGAGGAGGAGGAGGAGGAGGAGGAGGAGGAGGAGGAGGAGGAGGGGAGAATTGAAGGTGGAGGAAGGCAAGGAGTCGCGATCCCATAGGACGACGCGCCGAGTTCGCATCGGGACGGGCTGAGGGCGAGGACTCAAGCAGGACTCAAGCGGAGCAACAGCGTTGCGTCTTTTGGCCTCGGGGGAGGCCCTCAGGGCACGAGCCTGTGGGAGCTCCTCCCCCGCCCAGCCGCGACGTCGACCACGAAGCACGCGCCCAGCAGCATCGCGACGAACGGGATGCCACTCAGGGAGAGGCTGAGCGGTGACACCGCTGACCTCGCCCAGCAGCACCTCCACCACCAGGAGCAGGGTGCCGCTCAGGGAAAACCGCAGCGGGAACGAGCGCAGCTGCGCACGGCCAGCGGCACGCCGACCGAGGCGTGCACCACGCATGACCGTGCAATCGGCACGCGCTCCAAGACCATGCAACGGCGGCCGCTGGCCTAGTCAACATTGAAGTTCACGTCCGCCTGCACGGCAGCCTCGTCGCACGGGCCGTCAGCTGGCTCTTCCACCATGTCGAAAGGCAAACCAGCCTTGAGCAGGCTGAGGTAGTTCACGCCCCTATGAGCCACCACGCTCCACGGCGGGACGGCAGGGGCTGCCCGCGGGAAAGCACGCCCAAGAGCATGCTCGGTCTCCGCGGGGATCTTCGGCTTCTCGTGATCCTCCACCGTGTCGTACTCCTCGCACAGCTCGACTTCCTTCGACTCGATCGCGCTATCCTCGCAAAAGACGCCGTCGTACTCTGCGACGGCGTGGTAGTCCTTCCAGTCGCCTACGCCCTCGGCAACCGCCAGCGGGTCCAACACCGCCAACAGCTCGTCGACATCAGCGCCCAGCCGAACAGGATGCTTCGCAGCGCCAGGCACGACCGGCGGAGCCGCCGTGTTCCAGACTGCGGGGCCTTGGAGGAGCGCTGCAGACTTGACAACGCCCTTCAGCCCCTCGGCCACGCAGATCTCCACGATGCACTCGACCGCGTCGGCATCGTGGGTCATGGCCGTGACTAGCTTGCTCGCCGCAGCGCCATCCAAACGCGGTCCGCGCTGGGCCACGCGGAGCGCCGTCGCATCAGCGAACACTAGCTGCGCCCCTGGCGTGGCTGCATGTAGGCTGGCGTTGCGCCTCAGCCTCTGCAGCCACGTCGGCGCGCGTCCCGCCACCAGCGCCGCCAGAGCTGGCAGCAGGCAGCGGACTCGGGCGGCGACCTCGGCGTCCCCGACGATCACCTGGAGGGCCTCCTCCGCCTCCTTCCTCATGCGGTCAGCGTCCCCCAACTGCCTCTGCAGCCGCGCGACTAAGCGATCCGCCGCCGCACGGGCTCCAGCGGCGCCGCGCAGCGCCGCCGTCGAGCCCCCTCCCGCAGCCATCCCAAGCGGTCCCGCGCGACCGAAAGCGGGCGGAACACACGACTTGAGCCAAAATGACTACGTAGGGCTGAGGGCGAGGAGGAGAAGGAAGAGGAGGAGGAGGAGGAGGAGGAGGAGGAGGAGGAGGAGGAGGGCGAGGAGGGGAGGAGGAGGAGGAGGAGGAGGAGGAGGAGGAGGAGGAGGAGGAGGAGGAGGAGGAGGAGGAGGAGGAGGAGGGAGGAGGAGGAGGAGGAGGAGGAGGGCGAGGAGGGGGAGGAGGAGGGGCAGGATGACGGTGGCGGCTGGTCGCGCCGGCGTGCGCGAGGCCTGGAACGCGGCCGGCGCGTGCTCCTCCAGCTGCTTGCTGATGGTCTGGAAGCCGGCGGCAACGGTGTCCTGTGTGGCGTTCTGCCCTCCCCTCTCCTCCCCTCCCCCCCTCCTCCTCCTCCCTCCTTCTCCTTCTCCTCCTCCTCCCTCCTCCTCCCTCCCTCCTCCTCCTCCTCCTCCTCCTCCTCCTCCTCCTCTCCCGTCCCGTCTCGTCCCCTCCTCCGCTCCCTCCCTGTGGGAACTTGCCCTCGCTCCACCCCCCTGCGGGCGTGGCGGCACGCTGCTGGCATGTTGCCTCTGCTCACAACCTGGAGCCAGTGCGCGCGCTTCGCTCCTGCTCGGGCTCTCACGGCCTTTGGTGCCCAGCGTGCCGCTGGCGAGGGGCCGCGCCCGAGTAAACAGGAGTCGTGCGCTTCGAAGCTGAAGTGCTGCCGCTCTGATCAGGGGCTCGGATAAGGCTGAGGAGGACGCGCTTCGGTTTAAGCACACGCGCGCACGGAAGCAGATCATTCCTCGGCCACACGCAAGAGTGACCCTGGGCAAGAGTGACCTCTGGTGCGCGGCCTTTCGGGGGCCGCGGGTGGACCAAGCCCGGGCGCGCAAGCCGCTGTTGCTGCTTCGCTTCCAGCCATCTGCGGACCCGTCCGTGCCCGCACCACTGGTCACCCCGGCGGAAGGCCGCTTCTACGTCGAGTCGCACTCCGCCTGCCGCTGCCCCTCCTCCTCCTCCTCCTCCTCCGCCTCCTCCTCCTCCGCCTCCTCCTCCGCCTCCTCCTGCCGCCGTGCCCCCGCCCCACCGGCCGAAGGTAGGAGAGGGGGGTGAGGCCGTGGGAAGGTGGAGCACAGGGGGGAGGGAGGAGAAAAGGGAGCAGCGCCCTCGCCCCAGCAGCACGAAGAGGATCCTCCTCCTCCTCCTCCTCCTCCTCCTCCTCGTCCTCCTCCTCCTATTCCTCCTCTTCTTCTTCGTCGTCGTCGGCGTCCTCCTCCTCCTCCTCCTCCTCAAGCGCCGTCTCAGTCCAGGTCCCCGGGTGGGCGAGCTAGCGCCAGGGACGCCGCCCTCCACCCCCCGACCCCCCCGCGCCTCCTCCCGCCAGCGCCTCGTCCGTGCTCCTCGCGGCTCTGCGCCGGCCTAATCGCGCTGCAGTGGAGCACGGGGTCCCACAATTGCAGGCTGGACGAGACTCGAGTCCCTGCACATCTCCTTCGTGAAGTGGCGGCCTTGTCATGCCATCGGGGCTCGCAGCCGTCTTGCCTCACAGAGGCTTTCGCTGCCGCTGTGCAGGGCCGCTTCAGCAGTGACAGCTCGGCACCGATCAGGAGCGGCAGATGTGCATCCTTCTGACGGTGCTCATGCTGACGCCTCTGGTGATCGTCAAGACGATCACCATCTTGCCAGCCAGCTCTTCGTTGACGGAGAAGATGGGTGCGGAAAGCATGATTCAACTATGGGCTGCCCCTCCCAGCTGGCCCTGCCCTCCACAACCCGCTTCCCTGCTCTCCCCCTCCCCGCTCCCCCTCCTGCTCTGCGTCGCGGGATCTTGGAGGCCTCGACATCACACATCACTTTGCCTGTTTCGCTCACGGCGGCATTCGACAGCACGCGCCGGCTCTCTGCCCAGCGCGTCGCCAGACATCGCTGCGCGTGTCCTGGCCCCGTGCGTGCTCCCACCCTCTGTGCCGTGGGCGACGGGTCAAGCGCGGCGTCTGCCATCAAGGGATCAAGGCCCGACTCGACACACGCCTCGACAAAGAGAAAGAGGTTCAATGCAGCGAGCAGGGACGAATGGGACACGCAGCGCGAAAGAGCAGAGCTTGTCCCTCCTCGTTCTCTTCCCTCGCCGTTCCCCATCTCTCCTTCCCCCCTTCCCTCCCCCGTCCCCTCCCCCCACCCCGCATCCTACCCCTCCCGCTGTCGCCCCCGCCGTCTCCACTGGTCTCCCTCCCGTCTCCTCCCCCTCCCCCCACCCGTCTCCACAATTCCGCAACCTGAATAGTACGCCTCTCCCTCGAAGACGTCCTGAGCGTGGCGCGCTCCCATCCGCAAATTACTTTTCACATACAGCACCGGTCAGAATTGTTTTACGGTGTTTTTTCCATCCGAGCGTTCTCGGCTCTTCACAACTGACGCTGCAGCGTGGGCCTCATTTCATGATCGGGGCTTTGCCCCCGTCGCTCAGAATGCCGCACTCGCATCAACGTGGGCCACTTTTTGGGATCCGAGTTCTTCCCCATCGTTGTCGCCCCCCTCCTTTCCCCTCCACCGCCTTCCCCTGGTACTCCTGCTCCTCCCGCTCTTTCCATTCCAATTCCTGCTGCTCGTGTTTGCCCTCCTCCCTCTCCTCCTCTTCCTCCTCCTCCTCCTCCTCCTCCTCCTCCTCCGTCTTCATCCTCCACCATTTTTCTCTGCTCATCCTCCTGCTCATCCGGCACCTTCTCCTCCTCCAACGTACGCAACTCTCCTTTTCCGATTGCGCCCAACACGATGTGGCCTTTTGTGGCGTTACAGGTCCGCAATTATACGCGTCGTCGTGTACAAGGATACAGCTAGCGCAGTGGGGCAGACACGGGAGGGAGGCGCAAGATGCCAGACATGGCGTGAGCGCACCCGGCTTGGCCCCCCTCCCCCTCTCCCTTTCCCTCCGACCTCCCCCATCCCCCCCAGTGCGGTCCCCTGCCCCCCTCCCCCCTCCCTCCCCCCCATCCTCTGTCCCCTCCCGCCCCCGTCCCCCTGCCCCCCCTGCTCCCCCCCTCGCTCGCTCGCTCGCGGTATGTGGTCCTGTCTGTAGGTGCTGCCATTAGCTCCCCCCCGCGCGCCCCCCCCGCCTCCCGCTCCCGCCGTTTCCATTCCCCGGCGGTCCCTCACGAGGTCCCGGTCGGCGTGGCGGAAGAGCCCGCGGCCAACCTGCTGCGGGCTGGCGACCGCTTCGTCGTCCTCCTCTCACTTCATCTTCCTCCTCCTCCTCCTCCTCCTCCTCCTCCTCTTCTCCCCTTTGTCCCTTCCCCCATTTGCTTCTTCCCCGTTCGTCGTCGTCGCCCTCCTCCTTCTCCTGCTCTAGCTCCTCCGTCCTCACCCCCCCTCCAACTCGATGTCCCTCTTTTTTGTAAAAGGGGGAGCTGATACCAGCCCAGTCCAGAAGCTCTAAGCAACGCGAGGTGGAGGTGGAGGACAGAGGAAGGGGGAAGGTCTAGTAGTGCAGCGCACGCTGGCTAAGCACAACGAGCCAATCACTGGCAGCTCGCTCCCAGAGGCACCAGCGACCGCGCAATCAGGCACCTCGTCCGTCATGGTGACGTTCACTCATTCATCTGGCGCGGCGCCATCGACTTTTCACCTTCACTTCAGCACCTGGCTCCGTGAAGTAACCGTCGCCGACGAAGGCCAGGGCCTGGACTTCCTTCGCTTGCCTGTTCTGAGGGACAAGGGCGCATGCTCAGATGTCCCCAAGCACCTCCAGCCTATACCTCCGTGCTCCAGTGGTGCGGGAAACATGTCCCTCAGGTGAGGCGCGCCCTCCAACGTGAAGATCAGCGTCGCCACGTCGTTCGCAGCCGCGCTGAGGCACCTCGTAGTTTGCAGCCGCCTCCCCTCGTCCGTCCACGCCTTTGCGCCGCAGAGCTCGAGCCTGGAGTGGGCCTGCTGTATGTCCCATCGGACCTCCTGCGGCATCGAATCCACTCTCTGGTCGATCACGGACTGGTTCTTTCTCGATCGGTTGGTGCAGGCGGTGAAGAAAGGCTGCAAACAACAAAACGTCTCGACGCTTCCCTTCGGGGGTGCTGTCCGGCAAGGCCCCTCCTCGCGCTCTGCTGTCCCTGTGACATCGCGAATGGTCCACCGCCGTCGCGAACACCTGCTGCAGCTCGGACTGTCCCTTGATCTCCAGGACGAAGGTCGCGACGCGAGCAGACACACGCACACGTCTCTTCCCTCGGCGCCGAGGCAGGAGTTTGACCACAACTCGCTGCGGGCCGTGCTCCTGCTGCTCCTCGGCTTTGCCGTTGCCCTCGTTCTCCGAGCTCGCCTCGCCCGGGCCCGGGTGTCTGCGAGCATCGCGGTGGCGAGGTGACGGTGCATCTGGAGGGCACGGGCGCCTGTCAGATGGCGCACCTCGAGCCGAATGGTCTATCCGAAACCGCCTCGCCCAAGCCCAAAACGTCCAGCGCGAACATCGCGGTGGCGAGCTGACGCTGCATCTGCAGGGCACAGGCACCTGCCAAATGACGAACCACGATCGGAGAGACAGGTAAATGGTGGGCATGGCGACAACATGATCCTAGGATTGGTATATAAAGCGGCTCCCCTGCTTCACCATCTTCTCGTTAGTGATGCAGGCGATAACCTCTGCTATCATTGGCGAATTATTATCCTTATCCCCATCCCTTTCTTTATTCTCAGTATCGCCACCACCATCACCATTATCACTATGACCATCCTCAGCAGCGGTCAGCATCAAAATCAACATCATCACCAGCATCAACATTACCATCATAATCACCATCACCATCACCATCACCATCACCATCATCATCATCATCATCATCATCATCATCAGCATCAGCAACATCATCATCAGCATCATCATCGGTCCGTCGTCACCATCAACATCACCAACATCGTCATCATCGCTGCCACCACCACCACCATCAGCATCATCACCATCATCGGCAACATCCAGGTGAGTGTAGAGACACAGCGCCTTTATTAGCACCATCCTCCTTCTCCTCGTCCTCCTTGCTTTTCTCGTCCTCCCTCCACTCCTCATCTCCCATCTTCTGTTTTTGCCTTGAAATAAAATGACAGACACCACGCGTCTGAGCCCCGTGAATCAGCACGTAAACTTGACATGCGAAAGACGAAACGCTTTATACCTTATACCTGTCGTAACGGCGCCAGCCGGCTGCGAACCACAGCGGGTGGGCAGCGTGGTTGTCAACATCTGTTCAAGGAAGAATCGCGATCGCCACCAGAACGTATGTCCTGCGAACGTGGCCGACTCTCCTGGCGGAAATTCGGGCAGCTCTTCGCCTGAGAAATGAGGAAGAGACGAGGAACCAGAGGAGCGAGAGGAGAACGGATGAATGCACTACACCGTTGCGAGCGCATGTCCCCATGATACGAACGATATTCATATAAACAGGCATCACACAACAGCAATCAAGAACCGCAGCAAAGCACACTACCTGACATAAGGTCGGAATCTACCCGAACTCCTGACATGCCACAGCAAAGGGAGCAGCAAAGGATGGGGGGAATAGTGAAAAACGGGAGGCGGAAGCAAGAAAAGGATGGACGAAACCACGGGGCAAAAAAGGGCAAAACTACCAAAAACCGGCTGGGTGGTGTACGTTGACAATGGGCGCAAGTATTCACCAATAAAATAGAAAGTGTAACCGACATAACTAGGTGGAAGGGGGCACGGCAATGCCCCGCATCATCCGAAGGCCGAGCCCATGAGGCAACATGGCGAACCCTGGGCGGCAAGAGCGGCCCGAAGGGTCGGTCAGACCGCGGCCGTGAGCTACGCCCACACGCGCTGACCGTGCACATCATGAAAAACAGACGCGGGGGACGAGGAAGGGGAGGGAGAACAGAGAGGAGGGGCGGGAATCTGTCCGCCAAATGTGGCGCAAAGACTCGCGCCTGCCGAACGTCCGGGGCTCGACCCCGAAAAAAACCAGCCCAGCCGACCTTGGGCCACAGTGCGCCACGACACTATCCGCCACCGTGCCTCTGGGCGCGGCACGGAGTGGGCATGTCCTCAGGTCCTTCGCCGAATCTTCTAAACCTGAATCCTCACTCGGCCCCGCTCAGGCGCCCGGGCGGCTCAGGTGGCGGCTCTCCAGCGGCGCGCCGGGCGCCGGCTCTCGGCCAGCGCGGGCGCTCCTCTGCGGTCTCTTCCTGCTTTGCTGCCGCCGGCTGCCGGCGTGTCCTCTTCCTCCTCCTCCTCCTCCTCCTCCTCCTCCTCCTCCTCCTCCTCCTCCTCCTCCTCACTCCCGAAGACTCTTGAAGGGGCCCGGGGCCCAAATTCGCCAATCTCGCAGGGCCTGCCGCGTGCCCCGCCCGGGCTTGTCGCGTGCCCCCTGGGCTCCCGGATGTGGTGGCGCACGACTGGGTAGTCGAAGCCAATCTGGCGCCAATCTGGCAGGCCCAATCTGGCAAACGGGGGCCACTTGTCGAGGGAGCCAACGCGAATCCAGTCTGGCGAATAACCCAAATCATCCAGTTTGGCCAGGCCAGATTGGCCCTTGGGGCCCAATCCAATCTGACAGTCTGGCCTTCGACTACCCAGCCAAGAGGTCTCGAAGGCGGCCCGAGAGGGCTCCGAGTCGCCGAAATATCGGCCCCAGCAAGAGGGCTCCCAGACGGCCCAAGAGGCGCCCAAGACGCCCCTCGAGGCCTCCAGGAGGCCTCCCAGGAGTGCCCACGAGGCACAAACACTGGATTTCCGCAGGTTTGGGGCAGATTTGAGCGTTTTCGACCTCTCGGCTTTCCGACGCTCCAGGACGGCCTCCAAAACCACTCCAAAACGGCCCAGCGCCCCAAGACGGCCTAGGTGGCGCCCAAGACGCCCAAGGAGGCCTCCAAGAGGCCTCGCCCGCCTTCTCTTCGTGGAGCTTTGGTTCTGCCCCCTCGGGGTGAGGGCCTCAAGAGGCACGAATGATTGATTTCCTTTGATTTTTGATAGATTTGGGCGTTCTCGACTTCTCGGCTTTCCGACGCTCCAAGACGGCCCTCAAGGCCACTCCAAAACGGCCCAGCGGCCCAAGACGGCCCAAGAGGCGCCCGAGACGTCCCTCGAGGGCGCCAAGACGGCCTCAAAAGGGGCCCCAGAGAAGGAGCACAACTTGAAAATCCCAGCCTTCCCGCCCGGGAGGGCTCCGAGAGGGCCGCGATGGGCCCTGAGAGGCCCCCAAGAGACGCGAAAGAGGCCCCAGGAGGCTCCAAATAAAAAAACCCAAGAGGCGCCCAAGCTGCCCCTGAGAGGCCCCCCGTGAGATCCCCGATCCACTAGGCGTCGCGCCCGCGCACCGCGCGCGGCGGCGGGGCGGGCCGATGGCCATTGGGTCCGCCGCCCCCTGTTGGCTCGCCGAAAGGGTGTCCGGCGCGCTGGGCCCTGGACGGCTTGGCTGCGGTTATTTTCCCACGGGGCTCTCCCCGGGGCTTCGGTCCGCCCCGCCGGCCGCCCGAAAGGCCGCGCGGGGCGCGAAACTCCCAGAACACTTTTCGCAAGACGGTTCAAGATGGCTCTCAAGACCGCCATGATGGCCCAAGATGGCCTCCACTATATCCAAAATGGCCTCCAAGACGGCCAAGGTGGCCCTGAGATGCCCGAGGCGGCCCAATATGCCTCAAAGACGGCTTCAGTCTGGCCCAAGACGGCCCAAGAGGCCCCACGAGGCCTCCAAGACAGCCCGAAAGGCCTCCTATGGGTCCTCCAGGAAGACTCGAAGAAACCAAAAACATTGCTAATTCCTCCGGGCAGCCCCGATACTCTACGCAGGGAGGGGAGTGACGGGAGGAGCGGGCAAGGCTGGGTCTGGCGGCTTCCTCGGGGGAGGCTCGTCGCGGGCCGAATCATGACTCGGCCCGCGTTCAACGCCGGGCGCGTTCAACGCCGGGCCCAGGTCGATCCCCCCCCCCCCCCGCGCCCCCATCCCCTGGAGGGAGCGGGGCGAGCCCGCCCAGGAGGCTGCGCTCCGGGCTGACCGGCACGAAGGCGGCGCCTATGGGCGGTCCGCGGGCAACCCCGGGGGCGGCTCTCCTCGGGGCTCCTGCCTCCTCTCGACCGGGGGAGCTCTTCGCCGAGCGGGGGCGAACGATCCCCCCCTCCCGGCATGGGGGCCTCGATCGGGAGGTCGGTCTCCTGGCCGACGTGGATGTTCCCCGGAAGGCTTGGGGCTTCCCTCCCTAGCGCGGAAGTTTTCCATGGCCTGCCGGAGGGGTTCTGTGCTCGGAGGGCCTGGGCCCCGCCCCAGCGGAGCTCCTCCCTTCCGCCCCGTTGTCTGTCAACGCCCCCGGGGGTGGGGCGGGGCCTCGGGGCCGGGGAGCCGGCCGGCCTCCTGGCCGAGGTCCTCTCCTCTTCCTTCGCCGCCGGGGCAAGTATAAGGGGCCCGAGGTCGGCTCCTCAGTGCCCATCCTGTTCCCGCATCTCGCGGGTTGCGATGGCAGCGAGGGCCCCTCCACCCTGTCGATGGCTTCCCAAGGGCATCCGGGCTCCGGGGGCTTTCCTTTTCCCATCTGATCCTCGGGGCCCCTGTGGGCCGGGGCCACTGGAAACTCCAGCCCCGCCCAGGCGGCCACAACGCCGCCGCCAGGGGGATGAGCGCGCAGCCGCCGAGGGCGAACATAGCCCCCTGGCGGCCCAGGGTAAGGGGACCACCCCCGTCGCAAAAAGTCGCGCAGCATAAGCCAACGGCTGCAGAGAAGGAGGGGAGGAGGAGTGAAAAGGAAGAGAACGGCAGGCGAGGAATTACCCCGTTGAGGTGGTACCCCCCCCCCCCCACGTAACTGAAGCATTTCCTGGGGTTTTTGAAGGATTGTCGTATTTGCTCCTTTTCGGCCTTCCGACGGCCCAAGACGGCCCAATAGCCCCCAAAGATCGCACCAAGATCGCCCAAGAGGTTCCCGACATGGCCCTAGGACGGCCCAAGAGGCCCCCAAAACAGCCCCAAGAGGGCCCCAAGACGGCCCACGAGGCCTGACAAATGCCCAAGAAGGCCTCCAAGACTATCGGCCCAGAGAGGCCCTCAAGACGGCTTCTGACGGCGTCAGACGGGCCAGGAGGCCACCAAGAGGGCCCAAGATGGCTCCAAGACAGCCCAAGAGGCTCCCAAGAAGTTTCCAAGACGGCCCAAGAGGCCTCCAAGAGGTCCTCCACAAAGGCCCGAAGAGGCCAACATCATCGATTTTCCAACCAGGTTTCTGAAGGATTGTGGCATTTGCTTCTGTTCGGCCTTCCGACGGCCCGAGACGGTCCAAAAGCCCCCAAAGATCGCCCACGAGGCCGTCCAAGATGGCGCCAGAACGGCCCAAGACGCCCCGAAGACGGCCCAAAGAGAGCCGTAAGACGGCCCAAGAGGCCTCGAAGATGCCCGAGATGGCCTCCAAGATGGCCCTGGAGCACCCCAAACGGGCCCCAAGTCGGTCCAGAGAGGCCCCCAAGACGGCCTCCGATGGCGTCAGACGGGCTAGGAAACCCCCAAGACGGCCAAAGAGGCCTCCGAGAAGTCCCAGGGCCCCCAAGAGGCCCGAGGAGGCCCCCAAGATACCTCCAAAAGGCTCCCTAGAAGCCCCAACGAGGCCCCAACAGTGCCCCCAGAGGCTCCCAAGATGCCCACCCCTCCTCCTCCCCTCCTCCTCCTCCACTTCCTCCTCCTGAGCTTCCCCGCCATCCTCCCCCAAGTCTTCCCCGGAAGGGTTTCTGCAAGGGCTGGGGGAACACATGCCCCGATTGCTTGACGGAGCTCTTGCCACAACGCTCGGCCACAAAAGGCAGGAGCCGGCGGTGCTTCGCCGTGCAGGCGCCTTCGATCGAGTGAGCGGGAACGTGGGGGCAGGCGCTGCGTGCAGCAAAGGAAGAGGGCGAAGGAGGGAGGGAAGAGGGAGGGAGGAAGAGGAAGAAGGAGGGAGGGAGGAGGAAGGAAGAGGGAGGAGGGAGGGAGGAAGAGGGAGAAGGAGGGAGGGAGGGAAGAGCAGGCGGAGGCGACGCCTGCTCAGAGCCTCGCCGCCGAGCGCGTGACACACTGGGGAGGCCTTCGGAACTTGTTGTGCAGCACCGGCATGAGGATGATGAGGGCCGAGTGCTGCCCCGCGTCGTGCTGGCGATCCTTCGCGAGTCCTGAGGGCAAGTCCTGTCAGGAATCTGTACTCAGGCGAAACATCTGGAATGCAAGCGCCCATCCCGACAGAGATGGCCCCCAAACCCAGAGCAGACATGCAGCCCACAAGGGTCCACTTCGGAGCCCCTCCTCCTCCTCCGCCTCCTCCTCCTCCTCTTCCTCCTCCTCCTCCTCATCCTCCGCTTCCTCCCCCCACTCCTAGCCCTTTCGATCAGGGTCGGCGGCACCGGCCGTCAGGCCTCTCCAATACTGCTGGAGCTCGTCGTGCTGCTCGTCGCCGTGCTGCCGTGACTGCCGTGTTGCGCAGATGTGGGTGTAGGAATCGGTATGCCGCACCTCTTCGTGCTCTTCGTCGTGGTACTGCTGGTGCCCGTCATGCTGGCGACAGTCGTGCTGTGCACAAGCCGATGAAGGAGTCGCTGTGCTGCACTCCGTCGCGGTCGCCAGCGTGGCACAGCTTGAGCTCGTCGTGCTGGTCATCGTTGTGCTGCTGATGACCGCAGCGCGGTGCATAATTGAAAGAGCGCGCCATTATACTGCGGTCCGTTGAGCCTGTCAGCGTCGCACAGCTGAAGGTGGCCCAAGTGGGAGGAACCTCTGTCGAACACACTAGCCTGAACGCACGCTGGAGCTTGTCGTACTGCAGCAGCCCGCCGCACTGCTCATCGTCGTGCTGCTGGTGACCGCCGTGCTGCGCAGTGGTGGGTGCAGGAATCGAGACGCCGCACTCCGTCGTGCTGATCAGCAGCGTACCGTTGGCGTTCGCAGTGAGGCATCTCGTCGTGCTGCTGATTCCTGTATTGCTGCGCATGCGTGGACGTAGGAGTCGTTATGCTGCGCTGTCGCAGCAGGTGGTCGGAGCGGGAATTGGAGCTGGTGTCGGATCCCGCGACATGGCAGTACAGTCGGGGCGTTGACCTAAGGAACCCTAAATAAGGAACGAGCCCCCTTTTCTCCATAAGTTAAACTTCGATTTCCGATCGAAAACATAAGGAAAACCTGAAGCAAGCTGTGAAACACTCAAGGAACGCGGAGCCCCTCCCCAACCAAAAGGGTTCCTTCTTCAGGGCCCCGACTGTAGTGCGTGCCAGCATTGGCACGTATCCTGAAGCTGGCGGAGTCGGAGCAGGAGTGATTCCCCAATCAGAGCTTTCCTCCGTAGGGGTCCTAGCGGATTCATATGGTTAGGTTAGGTCTGCCGCCGATTTTCGCCGCGCTGGGTTTCCCAATCAGAGCTTTCCTCTGTAGGGGTCCTAGCGGATTCATACGGTTACGTTAGGTTTGCCGCCGATTTTCGCCGCACGCCCGGGTGCCTGGGTGCCCGGGGGTGCCCGGGTGCCCGGGCGTGCCCGGGGTTCCCTATAGCCTTATAGCCCTCTAGCCCAATAGCCCTATAGGCCTGTAGCCCTACAGCTCTATAGTTTTATAGCCCTATAGCCCTATAGCTCAATAGCCCTATAGCCCTATACCCGTATAGCCCTATAGCTCTATAGCCCTATACGCCTATACCCTATAGCCCTATAGCTCTATAGCCCTGTAGCTCTATTACCCTAAAGCCAAATAGCCCTATAGCCCATATAGCCCTATAGCCCTACAGCCCTAAATAAGTTTACCTCCGATTGTCGCCGCACGCCCGGGTGCCCGGGTGCCTGGGGGTGCCCGGGTGCCCGGGTGCCAGGGTGCCCAGAAGTGCCCGGGCGTGCCCGGGGCTGCCCGGGTGCCCGGGGGTGCCCGGGGGTGCCCGGGGGTGCCCGGGGGTGCCCGGGGGCGCCCTATAGCCCTGTAGCCCTATAGCCCAATAGCCCAATAGCGCTATAGCCCTACAGCTCTATAGCCCTATAGCCCTGTAGCCCTATAATTAGCTCAATAGCCCTATGGCCCTATAGCCGTACAGCCCCATGATTGGGGTTTTTCTCCAGTATCATTTTCGCCCTGGCCGAATGGGGATGTTATCGATTTCCTCTGCTGGCGGGATGTCGGCTTCGCAGCCAGAACTGGTGCTCGACACGGGAGCCGGGAATTCTGCGCCCAGGTTCGGTGCTTGTAGGAGGCGCGGTCGTTTAACCGGTACCCGCCGTGCTGCACGGCGTCGTACTGCGGCAACCCATCGTAGCGCTCGCCGTTCGGCGTCGGATTAGGAGTGTGAGCCGGAGTCGGGATTGCCGCAGGAGTCTGAGCCAGAGCCGGAGTTGGAGTTGGAGTCGGTGACCGAGCCCACGTCGAAGAGGGGTTCGGAGAGGGAGTCGACGCCAGCGGGCGAACTTGAGTGGACAGCTTTCAGGGCGATTAGTTCGGTCCTCCGCGAGCTTGAGTGGACAGTTTATGTGGCAAATGGGTCGGCCACCATGTTGTCCTCCTCGGATTAGCGGGGGTGGTGGAAGTGGGGCGTCGGATGCCGAAGGCAGCAGCTCGGAAAGCCGAGCTGGCGGAGGCTGGAGGTCGATCGGTGGCGGTGGAAGTGGGACGCCGGATGCCGAAGGTGGATGTCATCTCCCACCTCCTCATGCTTCCCTAATCCTCTCTCTCTCTCTTTCTCTCCCTCTTTCTCTTTCTCTCTCTGCCTCTATTCCCGTTTCTCTCGTTCCCGATCCTCCCCTCCTCCTTCTCCGTCTTCTCCTCCTGCTCCTCCCAGCTCGTGCCCCCATCAACATAACCATCACCTCAACTGTAGCTGCCTGCATCAGGTTCTCCGTGGCCACTTCGTGGAGGTCCGCGTTGAAGAACAGCTGGGACACAGGGCACCTCTCCGTCGGCACCCTTCCGCCGCCTCCTCCTCCTCCTTCTCCGCGGCCCCGACACACGTCCACCTTTGGGACGAGTGGCCACCGGGGCCAGGCGTGTGAGGCGAGTCCGAATCCGCCGCCGAAGGAACCGTCGAGCCTCGAGCCGTCTCCTCCTCCTCCTCCTCCTCCTCCTCCTCCTCCTCCTCCTCCTCCTCCTCCTCCTCTCCTTCCACACCCTGAAACCGCCCCTGGACCTGTCCGTGGTCTGGTAGGAGCAGTGCCGCGTGTGTCCTGCGGTCGGGGGGAGGTCGGCGCGCGGGGCCAGCAACCACGGGAGGAGGGGGAGGAGGAGGAAGATGGGGAAGGAGGGGAAGGAGGAGGAGGAGGAGGAGGAGGAGGAGGACGAAGAGGAGGAGGAGGGTGAGGAGGAGGAGGAGGGGGAGGAGGAGGAGGAGGAGGAGGAGGAGGAGGAGGAGGAGGGGGAGGAAAAGGGGAGGGGGAGGAGGAGGGGGGAGGAGGAGGAGGAAGGGGAAGAAGAGCACCAGAAAAACCGGGCACGACGCAGGGATGATGAGTTCAGAGGAGATCGGAGCTCGCCTGTGGGAGCTGTGCGAGATCATCGTCTGGGCCCGCTCCGGGGACTCCCCATGCGGGCGTCCACGAGCGCCCCTGGGCCCCAAGGGCAACCAATCACTGGAGGGGCCGGGAGAGGGGGGGGGGGGGGGCAAAAGGGGGGCCCGCCCGCCCACCCCGCAGGTGCTGCGCGCAGCGATGCAGCGACGAGGGCGCCGATCGGGCGTTGGGCCCTGACTTCCCCCGCCGCAGCCCGCCAGGCCTCGGCCGCCGTCGCATCGCCTCGGCCGCCGAGGGCGGCAGGCGACGCGGCGGGCGGCCGAACGTCGGCGGCACCGCCGTGAGTGGCACGGCCAGGCGGCCGTCGACGGCGGGCGACCTCTGGGCGACCTCTCGGCGCGCGGCGGCCGAGCGCGGGCTGTGATCGGCCGAGCGCGCTGCGGTTGCTGCAGCCGCAGCGCGCCGAGGCCCCGCCCCCCCCCCGGGGGCGCTCGGAGGCGGTCGGTCGTCCGGGGAGTGCTGGGCGCTGCCCGGGCAGACCTGGCGGCACCGCGCCGCGGTGGAGCCGTGGTCGCGCACGGCCCGCTGGAACTGGGCAGAGGCCGCCAGGCAGAGGGCCTCCGCGAGGTCGAGGTCGGCGGTGAGCAGCTCCGCCGGGCCGCCCTGCGCGTCGCGGCGCTGCGACTCCGTGGGGTGCAGGTCCTCGAGCGAGGTGCGCAGGCAGGCGCCCCCGAAGCACGGGCGGAAGAGGCAGACGGACAGGCCACTTCTCCACGAGCCCGACGAAGCCGAGCCTCTACCCGATCCCAACGCTGACGCCCCGCGGGTCGGGCGGCGTCGCCTTCGTCGCCCCGCATATGCTCCCGGTCAGCAGGCGCGCGGTGGACTCGTCCACGCACACGGCGTACTCGTTGAGCCGCTGCGTCTGCACCAGCAGGGGCTCGCGCCACAGCTCCGCCGGGCAGCCGCTGTCGTAGCCCGTGCAGTTGTACTTCCACTGCGTGGGGAAGCAGTCGCTGAAGCGGTGGAAGTCCGCCACGGTGGCTTGTGCACGTTGGGGCGTGGAAGCATGCCAAGGGCTGTCTCGTAGGGTTTCTGTATTCTAAGGATGGGCCCCCCACCAGCATCTTCGCGCATGCACCCCCCTCCTTCCCGAGGCCACGCTCCCTCGTAAAAGACAATGGGGCCGCGCCCTCGAAGCCACGATCCTTCGTTAGAAAATGAAGGAGATGCGCCCCGAGGATCCAAGACGGCCCATGCAGGCAACCAGGACACCAAGATGGCCCACGATGCCTCGAAGACGGCCTAAGAAAGCCCCAAGGCGACCGAATATGGCTTCACGACGGCCGACAATGCCTCCAAGAGGGCCCAAACGGGCCACAAGAGGGCCTCCAATCCAACAGGCTCCGAAGATGTCAACATCATTGACCCCCGTTGGCTTTTCAAATGGTTTTCTCATTCTCGCATTTTCGGGCTCCGTCAACTCAAGACGGCCCAAGAGGCCTTCACGATGGCCCCGAAACGGCCCAAGAAGCACCAAGAGGGTTCCAAGGTGACCCCAGAAGAACAAACAGAAGAAACATATATTCAAGGTGACCACGCGGGATGGTAGGGCCGGTAGGGCTGGTAGGACTAGCATGGCCGGAGGGCCAGCACGCTGGTAGGGCTGGCAAGGCTGGCCGGTAGAAGGGCCAGCAGGGCCGCAGGAGAGCCGGCTGGGCGGGAGGAGGGCAGGTGACCCAGGTGGGGACGGTAGGGCTTGCGGGGCCAGTAGAGCTGGCAAGGCCCGCAAGGCCGGCAGGGCCCGCAGGGCCGGTAGGGCCGGTAGGGATGGCAGGGTTGGCACGGCTGGCGGATGCGTAGGCCGTAGGGCCGGCAGGGCCAGGGCCAGTAGAAGGCCAGCAAGGCCCGCAGGGCCAGTACTTAGATGCCCATCGCGCTGTGTCAGCGGTTACCGGGCTCACTAGAGGGATCCAGTAGTTATATACATGGTTTGCAAGTAGGTTGTGAGTAGGTTGTAAGTGGGTTGTCTCTGCTGCAAGTGGATACAACCTGTATTAGTAAGTGGTTCGGGGACTTACTATCCAGAGCTAAGTGGCTACTAAGTCTGCTAACCTATTATCCGTCTACGTAGGCACTTGGTAAGCGGTTAGCACATGGTTACGAAGAGGTAAGAGGCTGTTTATTAAAGTGCTAGCGGACTTATGAACCCCTTACAAAGTAGGTTACAGCTGATTTAGCGAAACCATTTATCGAGAGAGCGTGATCCACCGCCGCTTTACTGTGGAAAATTGCCCCCCTTTTCCTCGGGAACCCGGGGGTCCCCCCCCCTCCGAAAATCCCCCCCCCTGCTGGACCTCCCCCCCCCCTTCCCCCGGCAAAACCCCCCCCCTCCCTAACCCCTCCCCCCCCCCCCTCGAAAACCGGGGGGGGTCACTACCGGTTCGAACCCCCCCCCCCATCGAAAACCGGAGGGGGTCACTACCGGTTCGAACCCCTCCCCACCCCCCCCACTCACCGCCAGCAAACGACTCCCGGTCCCTACCACCGTCCGCACCACATCCCCCACTGTTGTTCCCAGCACCACTGTCCTCACCACCACTGTCCCCACTGGTTCCACCACCGTCCCTACTGTCCCCACCAGTGCCCCCACCACTGTCGCACTGTCCCCACTGTCCCCACCACTGTTCCCACCACGGTTCCACTCTCCCACTTTCTCCACGGCCCCAACCACTGCCCGACTATCCCCACTGTCCCCACTGTCCCACTGACTCCTCCGCTGTCCCACTGAGCTGTCCCACTGTTCCCACCACTGTCCCCAGTGTCCCCACCACTGTCCCCACTGTACCTCTGTCCCATTGTCCCACCGCCGTCCTCGCCACCGCCTTCACCACTGTCCCCACCGCCACTGTACCCTCCACTGTCCCACTGTTTCCACTTTCCCACTGTCCCCACACCTCTGTCCCCACCACCACCGTCCCCACCATTGTCCCACTGTCCCCACTGTTCCCACCATTGTCCTCACCACTGTCCCCACCACTACCGTCCCCACCACTGTCCCACTGTCCCCACCACTGTCCCGCTGTCCCCTCACCACTGTCCCCACCACCACCGTCCCCACCACTGTCCGCACCCCCTCGGTTTTTTTTTGGGGGGGGGTCGAACCGGTAGTGACCCCCCCCGGTCTTCGAGAGGGAGCGGGGGGGGGAGGGGTTCGAACCGGTAGTGACCCCCCCCCCCTTCATGATGGACTTGGGGGGGGGGGGAGGGGTTCGAACCGGTAGTGACCCCCCCCGGTTTTCAGGAGGGGGGGGGGAGGGGTTCGAACCGGTAGTGACCCCCCCCCGGTTTTCCGCCAGCAGCGGTACAACACGCTCTTTTCAATATTAGTAAGTGGCTAGTTATTGGTTGGCAACTGGTAAGTAAGCGGTTGGTAATTGGTTAGTACATGGTCAGTGCATGCTTTGTAAGTGGACGTGCTATCTACAGGCCCTCCTCCTCCTCCTCCTCACGTTCCCCGTTCTCCTTTTGCAGCATTCACATGGTCGCTGTCTGCGTGCGCGCGTGCCTGCGCGCGCGCTGCAGCGTCGAGCCAAGATCCGTCTCGGCTCAAGCCCGTTGGGCCTTGAGCCGTATGACCCTGCCAGTCAAGGAGATTCTGGGTTTCCGCCTTCCGGCGGACACCCATGTGCATCAGGGGGTGGTCATCCTGAGTCGGGATCGCCCATGGGTGCGGGCTGCCAGGGATGGTGGGGCGCCCTGTCGGCAGCTGCAGGCCCCCCTGGTGGCAAACGCGTCGGTGTGGGAGACGTGGACGATCCAGCAAATCTGGATCTTCCACGCGGCCATGGTGGCTCGGTGCGCCCGTCGAGAATTTCCCGATTCGCGCGCCCCTCTTGGGCCGTCTTGGAGCGTTGGGAGGCCGAACAGACGAGAAACGTCGCACATGCGAAAAATGCACGTTTTCCAAAAGGGATTGGGCGAAATTTGCTTGCTGGGGCCCTTTGCTTCTTCGAGGCCTCTTTGGGCGTCTTGAGGGCGTCTGCGGACGTCTGGACTCTGTCTTGGGCGTCTTGGACCGATCGGTCGGCGACTCGGAGCCCTCTTGGACCGACTGGGGACTCTTGCGACCCTCTAAGAGCGTTCTGGGGCGCCTGGAAGCCACGCCCAAACGGAAAAACCGTCTTTGAGTCGGACCTGCCGGGGTACTCTTCGTCTGGGGGTACCCAGGGGCCGCCACAACTGGAAATATTACACTGCTACCAGAGATCTTGGCACGCCTCTGGTCCGTTGGGCCGGCGATTTTTTTGTGGCCGCGCGTCCACCACGCAGAAAGTCCACCATCCTCCCTTCCTCGCGTACACCAGATAACTTGAGAAAACAGAATATGGTCAGCCCTAGCAGGAGTGGTAGTAGTAGTAGTAGTAGTAGTAGCAGCAGCAGCAGCAGCAGTAGTAGTAGTAGTGGTAGTAGTAGTAGTAGTAGTAGTAGTAGTAGTGGCAGTGGTAGTAGTAGTAGTAGTAGTAGTAGTAGTAGTAGTAGTAGTAGTAGTAGTAGTAATAGTAGTAGTAGTAGTAGTAGTAGTCGTAGTAGTCGTCGTCGTAGTAGTAATAGTAGTAGTAGTAGTAGTAGTAGTAGTAGTAGTAGTAGTAGTAGAGTAGTAGTAGTAGTAGTAGTAGTAATAGTAGTAGTAGTAGTAGTAGTAGTAGTAGTAGTAG